ATAGAAGATTCTCACGGACAGCCATAGTGCTATAAAACGCGTGCTGTGGTACTTGAGTAGCAAGCACCAAAAGTGCTTCGCCTGCAATGAGACGCATCCGTTAAACTCCCTCTATGTAGCATTAACAAAGTGCAGTGAGACTGCCCAGGAGGCGTGTATCCCTCAGGAGTATGCACGTGTAGCCCTCCGGCCGGGCCTGGAAAGGTTTGGTCGATCCTAGGTCGTGGAGACGTCGTCGGGCAGAGTCAGAGATGAGATATGTGTACCGGGATTATTAATCTTCCGGAAACTTCCAGGAAGTGCTGACTTTTCATTAGACCCAATCGATTTTCATCACACTATGATCAATGATCGTTACTTTTTGTGCTCTCTCCCTCTCTCTCTCTCTCTCTCTCTCTCTCTCTCTCTCTCTCTCTCTCTTTTCTCTCTCTCCCTCTCCCTCTCCCTCTCCCTCTCCCTCTCCCTCTCCCTCTCTCTATCTCTCTACCTCTCCCTATCTTTCTTTCTCTCTCTATCTCTCTCTGTCTCTATGTCTCTGTCTCTGTCTCTGTCTCTCTCTTTCTCTCTCCTCTCTCTCTCTTTTTCTTTCTTTCTTTCTTCGTGCGATCTGAAAGAACCATGCTGTCAATATCACTGCTGTAGAATACTTGAACGTCTCTCTACATAGAGATGTTCTGAGGAGTCGCATTTTAACCAATGTTGAGCCGACTACGTTCTTCAAAGTCTCAGAGGTCGGCGATATGAGACGGTCAGTAGCAATCGTCTCCTGATGGTATCAATCGGGTCAATCGGGGCCAACCTCCCAATACACTCTGTGGCAGACGAGCCGCCGAGAGACGGTACTTACATGACGTATAATACTCATCACATCTCATGGAAAAATAGTTATGGTTTCCAATATTTTATTTATACCGCAACAGAAAACAAAAGGAGTGCTTTGCAAAAATATATGCAAAAATATGTCTCAGAATAGAAAAAAGTACTACAGAAAAAACGCACACAAAGGAAGGTCAATATCAATTACCATGCGTTACCTAGACAAGGACGGTTGCCAGTTTCAAAGAAAACATTACCTGTTGAAAGCAATAGCATGGATAGCTTTAGCAGGTTCGACAAAACTATCCCATTTTCATTTCGGCTGGTGTATCCGGAGTTCAACATGCTATGTTGGGATGTAGAATTAAGTGCCAACTCATGTAGGTCCCGGGAAAAGACGCCAAATTTAGATGTCACTCCAATCGACTGTCTCTTCTGAGTGATTGCATCACCACAGTGACAGACTCAATCTACTTGGAGACATTTCCGTACCACCGATACTCAATCCGAGCATTTAACTAAGAGCTTTCCTTGGCATGCTCCATGCGTTCATGGCCAGATCGGTAAGTCCATGCACATGACGCTCGGTGAACCAAATGCTATTTATAGTGATCTTAACCCGCGCCCCGTTGGGCTCTGCTGAGCAACGCGCCCGGTTGGGGGGGGGGGGGCATTTTGCCCCCCCCCCTAAGATCTCGAGAGCCACGCAACCTAGCGACAAGCGGCAAACGATGTTGGATAGCCCTATCAAGGAACTACCTTGCGACCCAATTTTATTGACCTAGGTCAAACCGATGACGTCACAGGTCAGGTCAAAGGTCCAATTTTCACCGTTTACAGGCATTTCAAGAAATGCGTTGTAAAATCGAGTAAAATGCATTTCATTGAAAATCATTGATGGGGAAATGTTCTTCAAACACATATTTTGCTATTTAAGGTCACTGATACTAGGTCAGGTCACAGAGGTCAGGTCACGGGGGGGTCACAATATGAAAGTGTCGTGTGATACATGTTTTATGGTCCATTTTACATGACAAATGCGATTATGTGGGTCAAACAGCCTTTGGGGCCAGCTTAGGTCACGTTTTGGTCAAGGTCAGGTCAAGGTCAGGTCAAGGTCAGGTCAAATTAGGTCAAATTTCAAACTTAATATTTTTGCATAAAATGGGTATCGAATCGATGCAGCTCGTCACTGGGAGTTCAATGGTGGTCTTTGTTTTGCCGTACGTGGTCTAGAATCGCTAAAAATTGAGTTCAAAAATTTGACGTCATCATTTTTGAACAGTTTTTTTCGCTATAACTTGGCCAAAAAACGAGATATCGATCTGAAATTTGGTATGTAAATAGAAGAGCGCAGGGACTATCGCATATATTCCGTTTTTTCGAAATTCGGAAAATTTTTGGATTTTTTTTTTCAAAGTTTTTCTAAAAACATCTATTTTTTGAATTTTTTTTGGGTCAAAAACCCAAAATTTTGAAAATCCGAGATAGCAGTTTTGTAGCGCCGCTTTTTGTCTACTAGACCATATGAAGAACTTTGAAATTGCTTGATAACTGTAGATTTGGCTAGCGTTTCAAGATTGCATGTTTTTTGCTCATTTTTGCTCGGACATGACCTCAGTTTGACCTCAATAACTCCTGAGCTAAGGTGACCTAAGACTTGAAATTTGGTGTGAAGGTGTCAAATTGATGCCCGGGAAGGTACTAAAAATTTGACGGCGCTGCGCGCCGCCGTTTTCTTGCTATTCAGGAAAAAACACAGAGGGGCCAAAATGGCCCCCCAACGGGGCGAGGGTTAACCCTCGCATGTGTAGGGGGGGTCGGATGGACCCCCCCCATGGTTTTTCGCGAATAACTCGCGTAAAAAGCGGCCGATCGCGACGAAACTTTCAGTACCCTCGCATTGATCAATTTTACACCTACCCTGAAAATTTCATGACCCTGACCCCAATGACCTTTGACCTGTGACCTCTTTTCCGAGACCATGTTTGGCCGGAATCGCGATTTCGCGTATGTCGGCTCGCACTAGCCGCGTGTTTGCAAGCTTTTCGTGGTTTCAAACGTTCAAACATGTGATTTGATGTTACTCCCGTGTGTGTCAAGGTCACCTGAAGGTCAGGTCAGGTCATTGACCTTTGGTGACCTCGGGTGACCTCGGGTCACTTTTTCGAGTTTTACATGTTTCTAGGCTAGTTTTTGGAGCTGATTTCGAATTTAGCAACCATTTGAACATTTACGAAGTAGTTTTGGTGACTTCGTAACATGTTACGAAGCTGTCAGAGGCGGTTGACACGTACTACGAATACCCGTCACGACGCCTACTGGTTGACCTGACCTGACCTGACCCGACCTGGTCTAAATGCTTCAAGACATCATCTGTGATCAAAACTAACACGATATTCGTGATCAGCACCCCGAAAAACCCCTTAGCAGCCACGCTTTACGACTTTCTAACAGGTCCCGATTTTCCCGACTTTGGGTCATTGACCTGACCTGGAAGGTCAACCAATGACCTAGGACCTTAAAATTGGGTATCATCGGCTTCCTCTCGTCACGGGCAACACGCTCGTTTTTTCCGCGAAGCTCTAGCTCGATCAGGGGCCAAACGGCAAGGGGGGGGGGGTCCAACCGACCCCCCCCCCTACACATTAGAAGCTGGCAAACGCCGCACACATGCGAGGGTTAAGTCACTAAAGTAACTCAATTGTACAAAACTTTTAGAGTGTCTGTGAACATTGGCACGATTCATGAATACAGTTTAGAGCACCGCATGCCGTATGTATGTATATCAGGAAGGCAGTTATTGACCCCTTGACCCCAGGTTACCTTCTTAGGGGCTGAGATAACGTGGTAAATAGGATCCATTTCCCATTCATAGAACACTATTCACAGAAACTACCCAGAAAGCGCGTTAATCTGCTCATAATGGAGGAAGATAATTAGGAGCTTATGTAGGAGACGGGAGAAGAGGTGAAAATAGGTTGGTCATTTGAATATTTTCATATGTTTATTTCATATTTGTATATCTTCTTTGTGATAACGGAACATGTAAATTGAGGGAATGTTTATGTGTACGATAATAAGAGCAGTTTGAAACTATTCTTCAGCAGCTATAGGTGGCATCAAGCATCTATCAAATGATATAAGCTACTAACCACTGAATTGTCGGTAACTGTATGAAACGTACGTTCATTGGATATTTTATGAATGATATAAACTGAGGCTTATGACGCAGACATAATAAATGCCTACACAGGTATGGAGACTCAGATATCCCTCAGCTTCTGCCTTCAACCGTTGTATAATGTAGAATATTCGCTGACTATTGTTTGTTAACCAAAATAAAAGACGCTGCTCAACAGGCGTCCTATTGAGCGTCCAGTGCCGTTAAGTGCTGAGAACAAAGCGGCCACAGCCAGCTCCAGACACCAGCCGGAAAAGGATAGCCCTGACGCTGATAGTGAGACAAAGGAGACTTCCTTTGTCAAGGAGCTCATAATTTATATGACACGTCATCCTCGAGTGCAATCATAGCCTAACGAAAAGAACAAGAAAAATGTTAATTGTTTGAACACTCGCGAACACTGAGCGCCACATACGATGACATGCGATGACCTATCCAGAAAGGAGGAAGTGCTGTCTGGAATCTCTCTCTCTCTCTCTCTCTCTCTCTCTCTCTCTCTCTCTCTCTCTCTCTCTCTCTCTCTCTCTCTCTCTCTCTCTCTCTCTCTCTCTCTCTCTCTCTCTCTCTCTCTCTCTCTCTCTTTCTTTCACTCTCAGTCTTACCTATAGGCAATTCCCACAGGCACACGCGGTGTTGACTCGACCTCTCACACAGCCCTTGTACCACCTTGCAATAATTGCAAACCACCTTGTCTCGGTTCTCCGCCGTCTCTTTGTGTCTTTGTGTCTGTGAATTCCATGAAACTCCCTCCTCTCTCACACAATTCTCGGGAACTCTCGACACCTAATGGGCGTCATGGGTGCCATTCCAGGCTGGCGACACGACTTGGCCATACCGCCGCCGCGCCGCCCCGGGGGCAGTCGCGATGTTTCGAGCCGGCAGGCGGTGTCGGGGTGCCATGCGGCCTACCTTTGGGTCTGGCGCCGTGCCATCTCGATCCAACTGGCCCGCCGGCGCGGCTGGCACACCCACCTGATGGCAATCGCAGTGACAAACTCACCTGACGGCGGCGGCGGGCTCCTGGGCTAGCTGGTCGGCCGGTGCGGCGCTCCCACTCTCAGCCACGCCACGCCCAGTTCACTCTCTGCACGGCGCTCGGCGTGCGCGTCTCACTGGCTCCTCTCCCGGCCTGCCGCACCTGCCGCCCCGACGGAGTGCTTCGATCGCCGGCTCGCGTCGACCACGACTGCGTAACGTCGGCACCGACGACGACCGACCGCCGCCGACGGCCCGACGCGAGCGGCGGGTCGTGACTGAAGAGGTGTGGGAGCGGCGCCGGGAGGAATCTGTACCGCCGCGAGCCTGGAGGCGATGCTGCCTGCGCCTCCGGTGACGAGCTGAGGGGCGGCGGGGCGTGGGGACAGGCGTGTGCGTGTGTCGGGGACCGGACAGGACATCGTGTCAGATAGAGACACAGACGTTAGTGTCGACACCGGACAGGAGGGAACAGGACACGTGATGGATGGAGACATAGGAGGGCGGTGACGAAACGCCACCTGGCCCACAATGCGTCTCCTGAAGTCAGCGGACTCCGGTGTAATGTCAGCAATAGGGAGTGACTCATAAAATTTACTCATGTTTTCTTTCGATATACACTGAAAAGCAAATAGAAATACCTCCGAGTTCCGATGCGCAGAGTTTTGATTATTACTAGTCATAGTTGTGGTGAGTGGCTCGCAAATTTATTGATGCGTGTTTTCAAGTTTTGTTTTTGTTTCGTCTCAAAGCCAGGTGCGCGCAGGGTTGTTTATGTTATTGCGTTCACTTAGTCCTCGAATAAAGGGCAACACAATCAAAATCATTTAAGTTGTTTTCGTCAGACGCGAGCTAAAAGACTTTTCATTCAAGTTCGTTAGGCTTTCAACAACAGCCAACTCAATTATTAGCGCTTAAGTGTTCTCGCGATATTCTGCGGAATTGTAAGCTGCTTGCGCCAGCCTGGACAGAAAATCAATATCTCAAGTCGCTCTAAATGGATGGATGGACGACTTTAACTAATTCACACCCAGTTAAACTTTATGAAAAAAAACATCAGAAAATAGCTGAAAATTGGAAACGAATGCTTTCAATGCAGCGAAACAATGCATAGTCAAGGCACACCTAAGTGAAATGACCGACAAATAGGCGGAAACGAGGAATAAATATAATAGAAGTCTGCCAGCTATGGGAAGAGAAGACAGGCGACAGAATCAGGAAAGAGTATGGGAGTGAGGAAGAGGGTGGGAGCGTGTGTCCGAGGCGGCTACCGGTGGATATTACGGCCCTGCACGTGCTGGTGATTTAGGACGGCTGCAATAACCCGCCTCCCCCACCACTGTTGACAGCCAGCTCCCACTAGAGCGGCTGGTGGAATGAATTGGTCCCTCACCGTTGCCCGTGGTGAGAGCAAATTAGGGTGAGAGAGAGAGAGAGAGAGAGAGAGAGAGAGAGAGAGAGAGAGAGAGAGAGAGAGAGAGAGAGAGAGAGAGAGAGAGAGAGAGAGAGGGGGGGACAGAGAGACAGAAAGAGTTGGAAAGACCGATGGAAATTTTTTATGGGCCTGCTCCACAATATGGCATAGTTAGATGCCTCCCACATGCAATTCTTAATTTTATTCATTTTGCATAATAGTTACAAATCCCGTTCTCAGTTCAAGGTAGTAACAACAATATTTTGTGAAGCACACTTCTTCTCTCTTCAGCCTCCTTGACCTTTTCCTTGTGCAAGCAGCGGTGCACACGCATTATATAGTCTCAATTTTCGTTTCATGTCTGTAATACGTCTACAAACTTCACCGCAGTCACTCTGTCGTTGAACCACTTTGGTAAGGGTGTTCGCAGGGGTGTCGATTTTTCAAAATGGTTGGGGGTGCTCAACCCCTGCACCGGGTGAAAGATTGCAGCTTTGCCATGGGGCACAACCGTATAGGGTTGGTTATCCCCATAAGGTACTGAATACTGATAATGCCGAGATTTCCACTAATATTTCCCAAGGGCAGAACGTTCTTCTTGAAAATCTTTCCGCTCGCCCTAGTACTTGGCTACCTTATTACATAAACATCTTTCCGAAATAAGTCGTATATTTGCCGGCAGTATGGCAGCAGCCCCGGCACCTCTGTTAAAAGGTGACAGAAACCGATGACGGCGATTAGCACCGGTGCAGCAGTCGCTGCGGTCCGCAGGGGCGGACATTGCGCGGAGACAACGGTAGCTACGATGCTCTGGCAGTAATAAGACGATCACAATAATCGCTGAAAAAATGAAAGGTGATCGCATTTGGATGTTTACAGGTTTACGATTTTCCTCAGTGGCGTAGCCAGGTGGGCCCGTGAGGCACGTGCCCCCCCCCCCCATCAGGTTCAGGGTCCCCTCGGGTTATTCGGGCCTGAGGGGCCCTGCGGCGCCAATTGGCCGATAAGGGTCCATGTTGACCATATTTGGACTCAGAAGGGCCCCACAGGGCTCGTTAAAAACACCTCATGGGCCCACAAGTATCAACAATAAGATCTCCATAAGGGCCCAAGACAGCCTCTGAGGGCCCCTTACCGGCCTCGGAGGGCCACTTGCCGGACTCTGGGGGTCCTAACCGGCCTATTCCCAGCCAGCAAATTTGGCCTTGGCCGTAGCTGGTTTTACTCTGGATAGCTCAGGCATTTGCTCCGGCTAAAGTGCGGGCAAGGTCTGGGGCTCTACTGGAGCTGACACGATCCCGGAGCTCGCCCGCACCACAGCCGGACTTATGCCGCATCAGCCGTGCCGTACCTCCACCGTACTTCAGCCACAGTAAGCCAGAGCAGCTATGAGGCAGCCGGACTGGTCGTAAGGGAGCCGGACTTGAGCCGTGGCAGGGAGCCGGACTTGAGCCAGACTTGGCGGTCCGGAACCATACCAACCCGGGAGCGCTACGGCCAAGACTGGCTAACCGGAATAGAGCCGTATCGACCCAAACCCCGGCTCTGACGGCGTTCCTTTTATACCGGCCCGAGTCTGGCATGTCGGAGTTGCCGGGGCAAAACGGACCTGCGCCGAACCAAATTGCTGGCTGGGTTAGGGGGCTCTGGGAGCTCTCTGGGAGCTCCACACCCGCCTGTAATAGCCCCACACCTATTTCTCTGAGGGCCCCTACAAAGGCGACTGTGAGGGCCCTCACCGGCGCACACTGGTCGGAAACGCTCCAGCGAGAGGCCAGCGGCCTTTCCGCAAAAGTTTTTTGCTTGTTATTCCACAACTAGTGAAGCAAACTTCATAAAACTTTGCATACCTTCTCTGTCATATGTAAGCTATCATTTGGATGTCAAGCACTAAATATATGACGTGAATCTGTTAAGTTATGACGTCATAATTGAGTATAATACAGGATCTAGCACCACTTTAAGTCAACAAGGGAAATTGGGAGCTGCTATTCGGGCACCGGGAATGGTTTCATGCACTCCTTGCAAGGTCCAGTGCTTGACTTTAGCATTGTTGACTTTGCGTGACGTCATTTATGACGTCACTAATGCAATGTAAGTTTTTCGTCAATAACTCCTGATCAGATGGCGCTAGAGAGTCGGGAAAGCCACCATTGGACTCAGGAAGACCTGCCGAATCGAATGATATGCGATATGATCTCCTTCAACCATTTTAGTGACCTGAGAAGCTCCGACCTGACCTTGACCCGAGGTTAACACCTTAACCCTCGCCGGCACAGGGGGGGTTGATGCAACCCCCCCTAAGGTTTTTCACGAATAACTCGCGTAAAAAGCGGCCGATCGCGACGAAACTTTCAGTACCCTCGCTTTGCTCAACTTTACACCTACCCTGAAAATTTCATGACCCTGACCCCAATGACCTTTGACCTGTGACCTCTTTTCCGTGACCATGTTTGGCCGAAATCGCGATTCGGTGTATGTCGGCTCGCATTAGCCGCGCGTTTGCAAGCTTTTCGTGGTTTCAAACGTTCAAACATGTGATTTGATGTTGCTCCCATACATTAGGATGGGTGTCAAGGTCACCTGAAGGTCAGGTCAGGTCATTAATATTTGATGACCTCGGGTGACCTCGGTTCACTTTTTCGAGTGTTACATGTTTCTAGGCTAGTTTTTGGAGCTGAATTCTAATTTAGCAACCATTTGAACATTTACGAAGTAGTTTTGGCGCCTTCGTAACATGTTACGAAGCTGTCAGAGGTGGTTGACACGTATTACGAATACCCGTCACAACCCCTACCGGTTGACCTGACCTGACCTGACCTGACCTGGCTTAAATGCTTAAAGACATCATCTCTGATCAAAACTAATACGATATTCGTGATCAGCACCCCGGAAAACCACATAGCAGCCACAATTTACGACTTTCTAACAGGTCCCGATTTTCCCGGTTTTCGGGTCATTGTCCTGACCTGGAAGGTCACCCGATGACCTAGGACCTTAAAATTGGGTATCATCGGCTTTCTCTCGTGACGGGCAACACGCTCGTTTTTCCGCGAGGCTCTAGCTCGATCAGGGGCCAAACGCGAGGGGGGTCGTACCAACTCCCCCCCCCCTCTTGTGCCGTCGAAGGACGCAAAATGGCCTGTGCCGGCGAGGGTTAAGTTGACTTCACCCGAACACCAAGTATAGCATTCAACGCGCCTGAGCCAGACAAACACGATTATGCCAAAATCGCGGCAGTGCGACCATTTTTGGCAAAGTAATTAACCTAAAACCGAGCCCGTGCCTTGTGGCACTTACCTGACCTAAGAGGTCACTGGCTGACCTAAGACCTTAAAATCGGGTAGTACCTAATTTTTGCGTCTTATAACGGCACACAAGCTTGTTTTTTTTCCGCGAGGCTCTAGCTCAATTAGAGGCGAAACGGCGAGGGAGTTGTACCAACCCTTCCCGGTCAATGTAGAAAACCAATCGGTCCGGCCAGGGTTAAATACCGGAATAGTGATCTAATGTAAAAAGACGGCCCAAGGTAACCCGACGTCAGTGACAGGTGTCCTATATTTGCAGCGTCTTATATTCACGAAGGTTTCAATTTCCACTTTCTTCAGCCGAGTGATGGTTGTCAATAGCAAGGCTCTCTAAATGCAAGCCGTAATCGCCACGCAATATGTGGAAGGCTTTTGATGTCAATACATACATAAATGCATACATAAAACGCGCTTTTCACAAAATTCATAAACTCAAGCGCATCTGTTTTTAATGACCAGTCAACTACTCATGGATGCGTGCAGGCCACACAGG